GTTCCCAGATGAGCTCACTCTCCACTCAGCCCTGTGTCCTCTTTGAACTGCTGTGTTCAGGTTAAAACCCCCTTATCAGGTGTGCTGGAGCAGCCCCTGCCTCCTACACACGTTGCTTCTATGGTCTTGGAATTTCTGATTAGGAGTGATAAACACATCATCTTTGTCCCTAGAGGTGTTGCTGTGCTGAGGCTCAGGCTGTTCTCAGATTGTTAACAAATGGGAGAGAGACTCAGAGCCTCCCTTGCCCGGCATCCCACCCCATCAGAGGCCCAGTGTCCTTGGACTTCCCTGATCCCTTGAGTCACCAGAGGAAATGGATCTGAGCAGAGAACAAAGCTTGGCAGTGTCCTTGCAAATTATGTCGCCAAGTTGTGACTGAAGGAGCTCACGGAAGAGAGGTGGCAATATCAGCCTCCCTGTCACTTGGGCACTGGTGCTGGATTGCCTGCCCATCATGAGCACACCTCAGTCCTGCTGCATAGGGCTCACTCACCCAGCATTTACTGAGCACCTACTGTAAGCCAGAACTGAAAGACAGTGGGGCCAGGTGACAGTGCTTCATTCCAGTTCCAGAATCTGCCCCTTCCCCAGGAAGGGCAACCCACGCCCTGTGCCAGGAAGGGCACTCCATGCTTCTGATCCTCCAGAGAAGAATAGGGGCCGGGGGGCCTGAGAAAGTTGCTCTTGTCCTCAGGGGAGTTTGACAGTGCAGAGGGCCATGACTCTGTTTTCTTTAAATGCAGGAGAGTTTGGGGAAGTGTATCGAGGGACCCTGAGGCTCCCCAGCCAGGACTGCAAGACTGTGGCCATAAAGACCTTGAAAGACACATCCCCCGATGGCCAGTGGTGGAACTTCCTTCGAGAGGCAACAATCATGGGCCAGTTCAACCACCCGCACATTCTGCATCTGGAAGGCGTTGTCACAAAGAGTATGAGGAGTGGTCTCCACGAGACCCAGGGGTGGTGCGGGAAGGAGCGGTGAGACCACTGTGAGTGGAGGAAGGATGTGCTGCCAAGGGCAGGAAGCCCAGTGCCTGGTATGATGGCTGCACTCTCTGTCTCAGGAAAGCCCATCATGATCATCACGGAATTTATGGAGAACGGAGCCCTGGATGCCTTCCTGAGGGTGAGGAGGGCAGAGGACCCGCTGGGGAGGGGGATGTGCCAGGGAGCCCTACACATTGGGAGAAGGAGACCTGCCCATCCCCTGACTTGCACACTCACCCTGCTGCAGGAGCGGGAGGACCAGCTGGTCCCCGGGCAGCTTGTGGCCATGCTGCAGGGCATAGCATCTGGCATGAACTACCTCAGTGACCACAATTATGTCCACCGGGACCTGGCCGCTAGGAACATCTTGGTGAGTCAGAACCTTAGCTGCAAGGTGTCTGACTTTGGCCTGACCCGCCTCCTGGACAACTTTGATGGCACCTACGAAACCCAGGTGAGAGTCCTGTATGCACGGCATTCATATTCATGTGCACCACTGCATGCCATTCATGGTCACACATGTACGGACACCGGGATTCATGCTCATGTGGGCATGATGCCTTTCCATCCCTGTCCCACATGCTTTCTCAGGGAGGAAAGATTCCCATCCGCTGGACAGCCCCTGAAGCCATTGCCCATCGGATCTTCACAACAGCCAGCGATGTGTGGAGCTTTGGGATTGTGATGTGGGAGGTTCTGAGCTTTGGGGACAAGCCCTATGGGGAGATGAGCAATCAGGAGGTGAGCCCAGAATATTCCTCTCATGTCATCCCTAACTCACACCTCTTATCTCCTCCCAAAATCCTCCCATGGCCTATTCCTGCAAATATCCTTATTTTTTCCTGACCCTCCATCTTTCTGCACTCGCGTCTCCTCTATCCCTTCACCTCATGCCCTGTGCTCCTTACCTCTCCCACCCTGTCAGGGTTGCTGAGAGGCTCCATTGCAATGATCCTGTCTGAGCACAGGTCAGCTGCCTAGCCTAGGGCATGCCTCCCTCTCCCCACTACAGGTCATGAAGAGCATTGAGGATGGGTACCGGCTGCCCCCTCCTGTGGACTGCCCAGCCCCTCTGTATGAGCTCATGAAGAGCTGCTGGGTTTACGACCGTGCCCGCCGGCCCCACTTCCACAAGCTGCAGGCACATCTGGAGCAACTGCTTGCCAATCCCCACTCCCTGAGGACTATTGCCAACTTTGACCCCAGGTAACTGTGCGGGAGGAAGACCAGGGAATTCAAGGTCTGGGAGAATGGAAATGGGCATTCAGCCACGTGCACCACGTGCTGGGCCTGGGAGCTCTGCAGAGGCCAGCGTGTGAGGCAGGATCACAGTCCAAACCCTCAGAGAAGGTCTGCCCTCATGGAAGTGGTGCAGACCCACCCTGCAGAGCCCTAGTCCAATAGAAGATAAGAAGCAGACACACTGAGAGGGAATACACACTAAGAATTCTGAAAGGTGCCACTTAGAGAGGTCAGCTCTAGATTACACACATTTGCAGCCAGGCCCTGATTCCCTAACTCCACCTGGGCTGGGTCCCCATCCTTTCCCTTCTCAGGCTGCCTCACCTGGGACCCTCCCTGGAGACTTCCTAGCCTGTCTCACTGCCTTATGCTAGGCCCAGAGTCACATCTTTTCTGGGAGTTTCTGTGACCCAGCATGGCACTTGAGATACATCCCTTTCCTCATGGAAACATTCCTTCATGTCAAGGAAAGGCTCATTCATTCAACAAATTTTGGACTGCCTGCTGGTGCAAGCTCTTAACTGGACATTAGAGATACAGCAGCACTCATGGCCTGGTACCTGTTCTAGTGAGCTTGGGCACCTGGGTTGAAGTGGTGTATTAGTCCGTTTCTGTTGCTTATAACATAAGTACCTGAAACTGGGTGATTTATAAAGAAAATGAAATTTATTGCTTACAGTTTCAGAGACTGAGAAGTCCAAAGTCCAGAGAACACATCTGGTGAGGGTCTTCTTTGGTGGTGGCTTTACAGCAATGCAGGGGGCTCACATGGCAGAAAATGGTGGAGCAGAGATAGAGAGACTCTCAGGCTCTCCTTTTAAAGCCCTCAGAAAAACGGCCCTGACCACCACTATTAATCCATTCACCATGGCATGATCCTACAGTCAAATCACCTCCTTAAGGCCTCACCTTTCAATTACCATAATAGGATTTCCCACCCTCCCAACAGTCACAGTGGGGGGTAACTTTCTAATACATAAAACTTGGGGGGCACAATTCAAGGTTCAGTGAGTTTGGAGGGGGACATTCAATCCACAGCAGGTGGGGAGGGCAGGGACAGCCTTGAGGGATCTGGGAAGGCTCCACAATCACGCAGCCAGCCTGGAGGGAAGCTGAGGGCTGGCAGATTGCAGGTAGTGCAGGATGTTGGCAACATCCAGTTAGAGGACAGCAACCTATAGCTGGGAGGCAGCAGGGGTCAGCACAAACGGACCACCCTGCTGAGAAGTCTGGACTTTATCTTGAGTACAGAGAACTATTGGCCAATTTTTAAAAACTGTCTAGGAAGGGACATGGTGAGAACGTGGAGAACGAACAGACAAGAAGGCGTAAGGTGGAGAAGGGCAAAGCTGTACTTCCAGTGCTTTATTGGGTAAACCGGCCTGCCATGCCAGCTTCTGTATCAAACCACCATATATAACCTTGTTTCTGGGAGAAAATGTGCTCTGAGTTCCAACTTTTGAAACTATCTTTTGGAGCACAACTCCCTCGTACACTGGAGACTGCATTGCTAATCTTTCTGGAATGTTGGATATTTTTCCCCTAGCAGATTTACTTTGCTAATGGCTTTTGGCTCTGGCTGGCTTTAGTACAGGAACACTCATTGTATTGTGGGTGTGAGAGTGCAAGAATAACAGCCGAGGTTGAAGGTGGCAACAGGGGCTGCTCCCAGAACTTGAGCGGCCACCCTGGAAAAGGCAGGACCATGCCTGACTGCCAGGGCCTCAGTTCTCCTGCCTGAAGCCTCCTCTCAGCTGGGCACTTTCATGTCTCAACCAGACCCCAGCCAGATGCCCAGAGCAGCCCCTCCAGCAGGAGATCGGATGGTGGTCCACTTCCCTTGGGGACTCCCAGAGTTGCCACTTTCCCTAGGTCTGTCAATCAGTGGGACTGTCAGCCCAGCCGCTGCTGTGAGCACACCAGGAAAAGGCCAGGAAGTGGGGTTGCAGACAATGGCCGGGCTAATCCAGTCTAGATGGTCTGTGTGCTCAGAGGGCCAGCCCAAGTGCTTGCTGCAAATGCTCAGATCGGCCCCTGCACCCCTCGTGACTGTGTCCCACAGGGTGACTCTGCGCCTTCCCAGCCTGAGTGGCTCTGATGGGATCCCATACCGAAGCGTTGCCGAGTGGCTCGAGTCCATCCGCATGAAGCGCTACATCCTGCACTTCCGCTCAGCCGGGCTGGACACCATGGAGTGTGTGCTGGAGCTGACCACCGAGTGAGGGCACGGGGGCTGCCCGGGCAAGGGAGGGCTGCTGGGGTTTGAGTCCCCAGACTCAGAGCCCCATTCCTTGCCCGCAGGGACCTGACGCAGATGGGAATCACTATGCCCGGGCACCAGAAGCGCATTCTTTGCAGTATTCAGGGATTCAAGGACTGAGCCGCGGCCGAGGGAGACGCCCCCTGAGCCTTCCTCTTTCCCCACCCTCTCCTCAGGGAGCAAGGACGGGGCCGTGGTCACTCATGGTACCCTTCCCTCAGCCTACAGGATGTAGGCTACTGGTGCTGCTCCTGCCCACCCCCGAGAGGAACCTGCCTCTGAACCCTGGAGCCTCTTTATTTTAAAAAGGGAGGTGGGGGTAGAAGGAAGAAGTAAAAAGGTAATTGTGGGAAGGAGTTGGGGGAGGGTTTAATATATATACATACATATACATATATATTTTTGTAAATAAACAGGAACTGAGTTTTCACCCTTACCCCTGATCTTTTTATCCCTTCATCCCACCTGTGAAGGCAGCAAGACCTACAAAAGAGTCAACTCCTAAGAATTCTGGAAAACAAGGTTTTTTTATTTGCAGCTGTAGCCATAACCTGGCAACATGGGGGAGGGTGGGAATGTCCAGACCAGTCAGCCCAGGCTCCCAGACAGCCAGGGTATCTCCCAGTCTCAGCAAGCAGAATACAAAGGCTGCTTGGGGCCAGCCAAGGCGTCGGCACAGCAGTGAAAGCGGCAGCACTAAACTGGTGCCCCCCAGGTGGGCGACCCCTGCAGGACGGGCGAGGGCTAGAACCCAGGGACAGGACTCCGCATCCCTGGGCTATTAGTGCCCTGGTCAGGGCCCTTGGAACCCCAGGGTGGGGTTTGGAATGGAGGAGGGGCTGGACATCCAAATAGTAACTGAGCTGGGTGGGCAGGTGGAAGATTGATCTCAGTGCGGGTGGTCCGTGATGGGGAAGGGCCTTGCAGTCTGGAAGGAGGCAGGTCCTCACTCAGGTCTGGGTTCTAGCAGTGTGGCATTTCCGACAAAGCACGTGACCATCCAGGGGGAAGCAGCCATTATCATCTGCCTCAATCGACAGTGGCTTCCCACAGTCCTGGGGAGAAGGAAGGATGAGAGGGGTGCTGGCCCAGAAGGCCCCGGTCCTCCACACCATCCTAGGGCTCCATCCTGGAACTAGGAAGGCCAAATGCTTGGTGGTTCTGAGCTGGTGCCACTGGCCACCCTCAAAATCCCAGCCCCCATTTCCTGCAGGCTAGCGCTTCCCACCTCTGGGCTAGTAAGCAGCGTGACCCACCCCTCCTGGCCACAGCCAGCCCCAGGAGACCACCAACCTCACACTTGTAGCACTTCATGTGGAAGTTCTTGTCCAGTGCGACCACTCGCACAGTCTCATCGCGGCCAGGTTCAGGCATGATGGGCTCTGCGCAGACGGAGCACCTCGGCGCATACTGCCTGTGGTGGGAGAGCAGTCCCGGGCAGGGTGAGCGAGCGCAGGGCTCCGGGGCTTTCATCCCCCATGAAAGTGCAGGGTGACACCGGACTTCTTTGTCCCACATCTTTAGGTGGAAGAAGCTCACCAGAAAGGCCTGACACCGAGCTGCCACGACTGGTCCTTAATAAGGGGAACCTCACGCCTCTGCTCACCCTCCCAAAGCCCCGTCCTCCACACACCTCTGTCATGGTCTTCTCTCCCACTAGATCCTCACCCCTGCACCCATCCCCACTGCAGCTCCTGCCAAAAGCACGCCCAGAGGCGCCCTTCCGGCTCCCATCTGATATCCCAACCCTAGCCTACCCCACCCCCACATGCCCTGACCCCTGGGCAGTGTGGAGAGATATGAATCCTGAAAATGTGTACCCCAAAGACAACATCAGTGGTGAGGGTTGGATTCTGCAGTTTTCCCAGGGCCACCCTTTCACGACATTACAGGATTGTGCCTGCCTTGTAAAGAGTGTTTCTTGGAGACTGGTGTTCCAACAGCTGCTCTCCAAAAGAACTTTTAGATCCCACCCTGTGTTTGAAATTAAGTCACTCCAGCACATGCTTCTCAACACCGGATACACACCCAAAAGTAGGTTCAACAAGCCAAGGCGTGGGTGGGACCAGCCACGAGCAGGACTTGCTACCCAGGCCAAATGAATTGGTCCCTGCTGTCTACAGACAAGGCGCGGGGCCAGAAAGCAAGACTAGGGATTTGGGGCTGTCCTGGGGCCAGGGTGGGAGCGTTCTCACTTGTGGTAGTCAGGGACGCAGTGGGGCCGGTTGGCCTGGTCCACAATGAAGGAGGTGCCCTCCAGGGGGCAGGCGCAGACCACACAGGTGAAGCACTGCGGGTGGTAGGCTTTGCCCGTGGCCCTCAGCATGCGGTCAGTGATGGGCTGCCCACAGGTGTTGCACTTCTCTAGGGTGTCCTGAGGAGACGGCAGGAGGTTGACAGGGAAGGACACCCAACCACCAGCTTCCAAGGCTCATCTGTCCCCAGCCCAGCCCCTCAGCCCCACCCCCACTCACGGTGTAGCAGCCCTCACAGTACGGTGCCCCCTCCAGGCTGTAGAACTGCTGTCCCTGCAGCTGCTGCTCACACTGGTGGCAGGTGAAGCAGGTGATGTGGAACAGCTGCCCCAGTGCGCGGACTGCAGGCTGCGCACGGGCCAGGGGCTGATGGCACCGGCCACAGGACTCTGGGAAGGCCAGAGAAGACAGCAATAAATAGGAGGAAGGACATGAGCTTGCAAGAGATCAGCCAGTTGAAATGAGGAGTGGAGCCACAGGCCCGGCCAGCTCGGTCATGTAGGCAGAGGTGTCCCAGTGGGGTGGGCGGTGGGCTCACCGTTGACAGACACGTTCTGCCTCTGAGGATGCTCCATGTCCTGCATCAGCTGCTGGGTCAGCTGCTCCAGCTCCTCCACCTCCTTCAGAGTCAGGGGACCTGGGGCCCCAGGGGAGCGCACCTGAAACCCCAACACTGTCTTTGTACTATCCAGGGTCATTCCCTCCAAGAACCCTCCCAGGCCAGCTTACCCACCCCCCTCCTTCTTCCAAGGACTGAGCTCCAGGCTCATTTCCCAAATGCTTCAGGTTAGACCCTTAAAGCTCCTCCTTCTCCCTCCCTGCCCCGACCCCCAGCACCACACGAGTGCCCCCCTCCTTCTTCCAAGGACTGAGCTCCAGGCTCATTTCCCAAATGCTTTAGGTTAGACCCTTAAAGCTCCTCCTTCTCCCTCCCTGCCCCGACCCCCAGCACCACACGAGTCACAGAGGGGAAGGGGACAACCTTAGCCTAGATCTCATATAGCAAAACATTTCTACCCACTTTGCCCAAACCCCGCTGGGCAGTCACAAACAGGCCAGAACAACTGAGCAGACGAAGGCCACGCACATAGCAGCTCAGGTCACTGAAGCACCGGACACGCCAGGGCCATGTGTAAACTCCACAGAGCATGCTCGGATACCACCCGCGGAAGGGGGCACGCAACGGTGCGCACAGCGCACACACCTACCCGTCCCACCTGCTGCTGAGCAGCCCTGTCAGCGTGAGGACACAACACAGGCGAGAATCACAGGTTAACCCCAGAGCTGTCTGCAGGAGCCCAGCCCCCAGTTCCGCAGAGACCCAGGGTCCCTCCTGAGCGAGGAGCTTTTGGACTACTGACCCCAATCCCTCCCAACGGGCCATAGAAAAGACCCAAAGGACACTCCCTGGGCCAGCCTGCCCCTCCTATGTAGGGGATCCTGAGTGCCGGAGACTGGGGGTGAGGGTGGAGGTTCGGGACAGGGCAGTGGGGCTTGGGTGGAGGTTAGAGGCAGGACACTGCCGGTAACCCGGAGAACTCCAGGAGCTGTCTGACCTGCGCGACGTCTCCATGCGACACTCCCCCAGGAATGCTGGGTTGGTCTTCTCTATTACTGGATAAGTGCACCCAGGACTGTGGCCCCCTCACTGAGTGCCCTACCTGCTGATGCCGTCGTTCCCACAACACCCAGAACCTCCAGAGCCTCCCTGCTGCCTCTTCCCAAGGCCATTCTCCCCTCAGCCCTGACTCCACCCACCCTCACACCCGTCTGCACCCAGAGCTGCGTCTGTCTGTTCTGCATGGGAAGCACAGATTCATAGAAGTCAGGCTCCTCCAGATCTTAGCCACTTTCCCTTAAGACTCCCACCATCTCCCACCCTTAACTGACACGTGTCCCTGCAATACAAGTGTCACTCTTTTCCTCTTCCCATCTTCCCTACCTGGCATCTTGGAGACAGAGGGAAAGGACTCAGCCAGACCTTGCTCTCTGGTGCCACTTTAAATGCCTGTCCCATTCTTTGGAAACAGGAACGTCACTTCCCCGTG